TTTCTGTGCATTTTCATCGAACTGGCACAAATTTATGTTTTCTTTAATATTTATTCATATTTAAATATAAATTATCAATAATTTTACTTGACATATATGGAAGGGAATGACAAACTGAGCAATATGAAATGAAAATTCCATTGCAAATACAACCTAAATTTCTGTAATTATTTTAACTTGATACCTCTAATGATTATTAAAGATGCAGATATATACACATGTATGTAAATATAGTACTTGCCTTTGATTTTTTTTTTTAAATTTTAATTATAAAAAAAATTTAAAATTGATTTCCGAATTAAAATTATGGAATAATTTATTAGTATAATGCGATTTTTCATTCTTTGTTATTGTTTAAAGAGAATTTCGTGTTTATTTACTTATTTTTTCGTTTCAAATAATGCGCAATTCGAAGTTTTATTTCAACATGAAGATGTGGAAAAATTTTGAGCAATTTGATGAACTTTTTTGATTTGATGAAAAATTTTACGACGAAAATTAAATTACTATCAGATAGAATAAATTTTCCATTAAAAACTGTTTTTTGACATGAGCCAGAATTTGGTTTAGCAAAGATTGGAAATTATCGAATTAGTGAGAGAAATAGAAATGACTTTTCTGCAAAAATTTTTTAAATTCTATTTTAAAATTAGAATTTTTTTTTTGAATGAGAGAGAGAAAAAAATAGGTGAACGTCCTTTTCATTTTACGAATTGCTGTTTGCAAATAGTATTACGATTATTTTACCAGTGAAGGCTGTAAGTTAGCGAAGATGATATCAGAAATCAAAAATATCAGTTAATCTGGGAGATATTTCAAACTATGCTCAAGTTTCAAATATGGGCACGCTGTAAATATTAAAGGAATTTGATCATAATTGAAAACTGAAAAAAAATAATATCACTTGACAGATGATTTATCATTTGTGCAATTGACGAAATGCCAAGTTTTTAAATCTCCTGCTTTTTTCGGAATAGAATAGAATCTTTTTCAATCGTTGGAATAGAATGGAGTCTTTCTCAATTTTTAAAGTAAATTCTCAACATTTGGATTTAAAAAATTTCTGAATATTTGCTTTCTGTTTTCATTTTAAAGCATAGTCGATCTGTTCATTACTTTATTACTGTGTCTTTGATTAGCACCAGTTTTTTTTTTAATATTCTCATTATTCGATGAGAACAAATGATCTGGTTTGAATTTTCAAAGATTTATTGAATATTAAAAATTTTGAACTTACTTACAATTTATCTCTTTCAAACTTTTTTTTTAAAATTAACATACTCAATTTTTAATCTAGCAAACTATTGAATAGTTTCGAATCAATAATATCCAAAACATTATTAATATTGCAATTAAAAGCAATTTTGGTGGATATTTATAGAAATATCAATATCATAGCACAAAAATCTTGCTTCTTAAAAAAATTAGAATTTATTTTAGTTTATATTTTTTCATATTATACACTATCAGAAGTACTCATTCCTATTGTATTGTTACCTTTAATTAGTTAATAAGCAATATTTTACTTTTAGCAAGTTTTTTTATATTTCATTAATACAATGTAAGAAACAAAATTAATGTAATAAACAGAAGATAAATGATGATGGAAGAAGAAATGTGTCATAAAAGTTTTATGTATTTACAGCTCTTCCGGAATATTCTCTTTCGATGCTGTTCGATTGCACGAAGACGTGAAGAGAAATCTCGAATGAATTGTGAAAGTTGTTTACAATTAGCACATGCGATTGCTATTGAACCCTCTAATATTATGCTTACTCAAACACTTGGCAATAATTTTCGTCTTTCCATCAAATCGATCGAAGAGGTTTGCAAATTATTGCGCAGTTTTTGTTTTTGTTTTTTTTGTTTTTGCCTAAAAATTACATAATTAAAATGTAAAAAAACAAAAAAAAAAATTAAACGACACCTCATATGATGTATTATATCATTTTAATTTACATAAAAGCAATGCAAATAATAATATAAAAATTATGTAATTTTTAAAAAAAGGAGAAAAAATGTAAGGAAAAATTATAGTGCAATATGGAAGATAAATTTTTTAGATGGATAAATAATAACAAAATAATAGTATTAGATATTTTTTAGTGCTATTTTAAACTACTATTTTTCTATGGAATATTACATATTTTTTTCAGAGCAGTTTTAAATTTTTGAGTAGAATAAAGCTTAACAGATTTGGATTAGCTAAACTGAAGAAATAAATTATTTCTTGGGATTTAATAAAGAGAATGGAATACGAAGAAATTATTTATAACGTTTAACTTAAGGAGTCGCATTTGGCACCGATAGTTCAACCAGAAGATTCGGATATATGCTGATATATTCAAATGATATATATATAAAATTCTAACAGCTGTTGTAATTCCTATCAAAACGCTTCAATAATAGTTATTAAAAGCAGACAAATATAAATTTTACATCAAAATTTTTTCTTAATTTACCTCATATTTTGTCATGTTATGGCATCCGTTCACTTTCTTTTATTCATTTATTTTTTTGAAAAAATTATGCTCAGTTTTTTGTCAAATCATTTTTGCACGATTTAAAACTTTTTTATTTCATTAATGTAAATTTCGATGAAAACTTAATTTTTTAGTTGATAAATAGGTTAAAACTGATATATTGCATAGCAAATATTTGGTTTTGGAAATTAAAAGATGAAAAGAAAAAAGCACAAAAAAAAAATGGTTGATAATTTATTGATAATCATTTTCATCGCTGGTGGAGTTCTTTTTTTTTGTGTTTTTTCTTTATCCAATTTACCAAATGATATTATATTTTCTTTTATTCTATTGGTCGTTTTTTTTTTCCTTTTCCTATTTCGACTTCTCCAAAATCGTATATCTTTTCATAACGTGCAAAAAAAAGGTGGAAATGCATTTTTCCCTCTTTTTTTTTTTAATTTTTATTTTTAAAATGGTATAGGATGGATAAGCAAAGAATACATTTGGGACGATATCATTTCGCTTAAGTGATTGATTGCTTCATATTTAGTGAAAAAAGTTAAAATTAAACACATCTTAGCTCAAACCTGCAATACATTATATTATATTATGTTGCATGACATGTTACTTTATTGACGTCTTCAAAGAAAAAGAAAAAGTGATGATGAAACTCTAGAAATATGAATTTATTGACAATTATTTAAGAGAAAGATCAAACTGCATTAACTTTGTTAAGAGAAAGAGCAAATTGCATTAACTTTGTTAACATTAATTCGTGCCTGTATACTTGAATAAAGGTTCAAATATCGGAGAATGTTATATGATAATAAATTTTGATCGATCAATTTTTAAAGAATAATTTCATTAATCATTATACCTTTAAAATTTATTTCTATGAAAATATTAATCATACAATCGATCAATAAGTTTAGAGGGGCGATCCTAATCTTAATCATACAATCAATCACTAAATTTGGAGTGGCAATTTCAATCTTATATTTAAATTTAAAAGTACTAGGCTTTTAAAAACTAAGTTATCAAAAATTTTGCGGTAAAATTAAATAATGATGATAATAGCGACTATGCATTTATAGACGAGGAAAGGATGTTGTTTAAGTTTTACCACTTTAACTTTGAGGTTTTATTTTAGATTCAACCAATATGACAGAATTTCGGCATAGTTGAGCCATCCAAGGGATTATAATATCGCATTGTAATTTTATTGAAAACTTCTGATAGCATAGTTTTGTGTATTTCCTTGTATTTCTTTATTATTCCATTATTTTTTGTTTTGTCTGTTCCCATGCTTTTATTTATTTCAATTTATTTATCTGCTGTGAGATTCATTAATGAAAATTTCAAAACTTCAAAATACAAAACATGTATTCCTCTATATAAATGATGCATATAATTATCACCGTTCAAATATTTTGAAAAAATCATTGTTTCAAATCAATGATTAATAATGACAAAAATAAATAACAATAACAATAAAATAACAGATAAATAAACATAAAAATTGCCAGTTTTAACAACATATTTCTTTAGTCCTCGTTCAATTTGAAATATAATCATTGAAGACATTTTAAATATGCCTTAAATTTTCATTTACATCTTCTTTAGCTTTTTCTTTTTTTTCCTACTGCAAAGATATTGCAAAAAAAAAAAGAAATGGCAATATTCCCAATGGAGAAATGAGACAGAAAAAATGGAGAAATTAATTTTAAAGAAAAAAAAGACATTTCCGTCAAATTTCATTCATTAACTTCTTTATTTCTCATGAATCAATCAATAAAAAAAACCTGTATTTGCTATTTTTTCGTGCAAAATATAGATGGAATTATTAAAGCCTGAAAGCCATTTATATTCATTCATATCAAATGAAAAAAAAAAAAGCTAAACACGAACACATATCTCATCGCGCTCAAGAAAATTCATGTTTCGGTGGTTCCGCAAAAATGTTTTAATATCCATTGGAAAATAATATATTTTTTCGTTGCAACAGTTTTCTTATTTGTTTCTTTTCTCTCTCTCTCTCTCTCTCTCTCAAGAAAAGAAATTATATTATAAAAGTGATATGTTCCAATCTCTACACAATTTTGCATAACATTTAACTCGATTAATTTGCATGGAGCAAAAAACGGTTTACAGAAATTTTCAAATGATTGTTTATCTACTCATTGTTAAAACTGTTGCCAATATTTGTAAGCTTTTCTGCGAATATGCGTCTTTTATGTTATAAAGTAGTGGAGACAAAACTTTATGAAATAATATAATTAAGATAACGTAGGTAAATGGAATAAACAATCTCAGGAAACTTTATTAACAAAATTTTTGATGTCTAATAAAATTAGTGTGTTTTTCACTTCATTCATATAACACATAGAATGAAAAGCATACAATCATAGTTATATATAAGCCTGAATCTTCGAGTCGACAATAATGTAAGTATATATTAGATGAATTATAAAAATATACGCAATTATGATAAGTCAATGACTTTATGCAGTTCACAAAATTCAATGGTCCACACAATCAGCGAATTTGTTTCTTACGGCTCACAATCAGGCTTTCTTCGGCTCGACGAACTGCCAACGGTATACGTGAGTCGGTTTTTGTACGATAATCACCCAGCAACTTCGGACAGCACGTTAATCCTTTTGATATGCTATCCATCTGCAGTAAAAAATTGATTTATGATGAGCGTTGAAAAACAATAATCAGTAATGTACGATTGAACTGAAATCAAACATATTTAACCATAACTGATTATGTTACAAACGAAGCCTTCACGTAAACCCAGCAAATCATCAAGAAGTTATTAGATTTAAAAATAATTAAAAACAAGAATTAAAGCAAAATGATGTCCTGTTACGCAATAAAGCAAAGTGCACTTTTCTAAAAGATTAAAAATTTGACTCATAAAAAGCTGAGGCCGACCTTTTTCAACATGTCGTAGACAATACGATCGCCTACGTATGAATCATGTTTATAATCAGGATGTTCACGAATAAATTCCCTTATCCAAGTAGCTAACGTTTGTAACTCACCAGAAGCTCGTTTCTAAAATTCGTGACATTTCTTAAAATTTAATAAACAGAGATCACTTTTTAAAATCCTTCCCATATCACTTCTTAAAATTAAATAAATTGTGGAGTGATACTAACCAACCTGTATGAAGCTTAGGTACTGAGATACAGTGCATCGTGAATCTACATCAACGTCAGCACTATCCAAATATTGACGCATTAATGGTATTAATCCTGGAAAATCGCCACCGTTCCCTGAAGCAGTTATTTTATACCGTAAATTTTGAAACTGACGAACAATCAGTGATTTGGACTTTTATTCAGTGAAACCATAATATAATATATTGTGATTAAAATACGAATTACACTAAGAATAATAGAATCAATAACCAAAATGCTGGAAATAAGTTATTTGAGAGAGAATAATAAATCAAAACATAGAGATTAAAAAGATAATGTGCGAATCAAGCTGAGCAAATCTGATTTGATCAATGTAAATCCTACTCAAATCTCCAAATGCTAACCGTTAATGATTTCATTAACAGTCATCTCCACCACATCGTCAGAATCAGACGTGCAACCAGCGCCTCTGGCACACGGTGGTGAGTTGCAAGTTGCAATACCTTTACGAAAAAGTAGTTTTTGTTCCATTATAGCATTTCGACGCTGTGCACGTTTCATATTCTCCGTAACAGCAGAAATAGGTAAGATCAAAGTGATACGAAATGATATCATTACCCTGAAAATCATGCTACTTTGCAAAACATTACCTTCGAAACATCTGTATGGAAAGGAAAAGTATCATTAGCTTGCCTCTTTAAGAATATTTGCAAACATTAAACTTGAGACAGATGACTTAAATGCATCCAAATTCAGACATATCTAAATTACATTCAAAAATTTTTCAGCAACCTTCATTATTCAAAGGCAATGTCAAGTCACTTACTTAGAAGTGTTGAAGTTACAAAAGCCTCCTCCAATCTTATAATTTAACTTTCTCGTCTTGTAGCTAAATGAAGCAGGAATCAGACAGCATCACGTATTACAGTCTTCAAGGGTTAAGTGGTTTTCAACATTGTCATATCAAAAGCGTGTTAAGCCTACCTTGTTAAAAGTACAACAAAACAACAATAAGCTGCATTTTCAAAATCTGTTAGTTGCACTTCAGTTGGTCGAAATTCGACACGCCAACCAATTTCTGGTGAGTCGGGTGGAGGTGGCTTGAAACGCATATTCATCCAATTCGAACTTTGAACTGTTTCAAAATGTTCAGTTGTTTTCATATCATCTTGTTCGATACGTTCACGATATACCTACAAAACGCAGGAAAGTAGTGAGCAAAAAAAAAGGATTGTACACTGATTTTGAGCTATAACATTACAAGTACTAATAAATACTATTTTTACCTTGAATACTGATAAAAACTAGAAGAAATGAGTTATTTCCAAACTTCAGCAATCAGTTATTATGTATGATTAAATTTGTTAACCTGTAAAGGATCGCGAATAAACATATGTGCAATGTGTTGGGCAAGAAGTTTATCAATTCCGCCATCTATTAACTGCTTGTAAATCTTATCGTCATACTGAAGCGGTATATCGTTATATCTGAAAATGAGAACCTTGTCAGAAGTAATATTTAGAGTACTTATTTCTATCGAACAGAATTAATAAATAACATTTGATGTTATTTATTAATTTTGGCACATTTTTCAACTGTCCTCCGTATTTCTAAAACACAATTGGTAGGTAGAAATACAGATATTGTATTTAAAAGTTAAGAAAACATAATATTAGCAACGTATACCATTGAGAAAACGGAATATAAAAGAATTAACTATTGTGTTCCCCAATATAATTGGCGAAATTGTTTTCAGGAATAAAATCAAATCGAAAAATGCTTAAAAGTTCGGTAATCTATTGATCCTTTAATTTATAAATGGCAGATATTACTCACGATTCAGAACATGGATAAATATAACAATCAGTAGCATCATATCGGCTCTTTCCTATTACAAATTTATTATTCTTCAACGGCACCAAACCTCTTTCTTCAGCTGTACGATCGTCAACACTCTAGAATGGAAACAAAATATTTAATCAAATATGTGTGTATTGGGTTCTTACTAGTCTTTAAAAAAAAAAAAAAAAACAGATGGATTTTTTATCTCTTCATCTAATTCGAGCTTTGAAATGTTTCAAAATGTTCGATTGTGTTCATGTCATCTGCTCGATAAGATATGAAGAAATACAGGAAAAACCTCCCCAATGTCTCAGAAGCAGAAAACATAATAATTGACGCCTCATTGTTAAAATTTATTCAAGCATCTAATGATGGATACGATAAATAATCCAAAATCAAAGTCAAAAAGCTTTTGAATAATGAGACATATTTCATAATTGTATATGTTTGGTTATCTTACTGCTGATATGACATCCCAGCGAGAGTCAACATCAGCCAATCGTGATCGAAAAACAGGTGTTGCAGCTGATAATGCCAGTAATACTGGTGTCACAGGTGTCAATTGGTCATATAACCAACGTGCTTCATCAATATTGACAGCCTAAATTAACAAAAACACCAATAAATAAGCAAAATTAAAAAATCTGTTGAAAATAAGCTTTTTATCATAATTACGTAAAGATTTGATTTTTGACAATTACTAAGATTTTTATTTGATAAAAATAAACAGGAAAAGAGAATTTATGGTTATATACGGACTACAAAAAGACCAGTATTGATATATTATTATAAGCTTCATTTGACTTCTTCTTTAAAAAAGAGAATAAATGAAAATAAAATTTTCTCTTTTTGCAAAAATTAAATCTTAAGAGACTTAAAAAATGAAGAAGTCACCTGAAAAGTGACTTGCAAACAACAACAACCCATTCCAAAACCCATGTGATCCATATAAATATGATCTGGTTTTGCAGCTCGTGTAAACTGACCTCCATCTTTTGCTTGCGTAAAATTTTCCTGAAATCATAATAAAAAAAATGTAAAAAAATTGTATAAATAACAAAGTATCATTAATTTCATTTCTTGAATATATTTTGCTGCTGGTCCTTTGCCGAAAATCCTATCAATTATTTCATGAATACAAGTGAATAAGTTACAAATGTCTTGTCATATTTTCAGTGATTATTGCACAAGAGAGTGTTCTTACTCAGATACAAAATAAATTTTCCACTCTCTTGAAAACATTACAGCTAACAAGAAATAAACAATACATTTCATATGTCAGACTCTGAAACACACCTCAAAATTGTTATGCAAATGTTGAGTCGTCGGAAGGATACCTGATATGGATTTGGTGTATTGATATCTTTATATATTGGTACATTTATGGCAACTTTTTCACCACGGCGCTGTCTGATATTTCTTACCAAATTCCGAAATCTGAAAGAAAAAATATACTGTTTCATCAATTTGAAATAATAGACTCAATCCTCGAATAACTGCCAAACCGAAATTTTTTCGCATAATTCAAGTAATGCATTGCATTCCCAAAGACATTACATACCTGGGATGCCCTGCGTAAATTGCTTCGTCAGGGAAGAACACCGAGCAACCATAGCTGTTAGCATCGTCTGGATGTGGTTCATACGAAGGTGAGGTGAAATCTGGAGTACCTAGAGCTGGGAATGATATTGACATAATCGATTCATCATCCTTCAGTAATCGTGTAACTTCAGCACGACGAGATATCATGTTACTTTCTACGACATTAAAGCATGCCAACAGGCCTAAATTCCGCGATAACGCATAAAAGATTTGAGATTGATGGAAATTTCCTAAACTATCCTGATCATAGTTTGCTTTATATTAGTAAATAATATGCATAATTTCTCATCAGAAGAACATGAAACGTACAAGGATTTTTTGGGTGAATCTAAAAAGCTTCACATGATGTCGAAGAAAACTATATAACCTCCATAAGGTGCTCCCGGTGTTCCTTCAATCATGTATGCCGCAAATTCGGGACGCCACAAGCAACAGTTTTCATTACCTAATAATGCGTTCAGTTCTTCACCAGCTTGCAGTTGATTAAGAAGTTCTTCTGCTCGTAAACTTACTCGAACCTGAATAACTCTAGTAAAAAAGAGCTATTTCGTTTATTACAATTCCTTTTTTAGCTTATCTCTTTGCGTTAAACTCTCACCGTAATTGTGATCTGAATGTGAAGTATAATGTATTCATGGAATATATTATTTCTTAACTTATATCGAACAATTAATATCATTTATGGAAATAATAAAAACTGCACACTATCAATGAATATTGAATCACCCATCAATGGAACAAATTTACAAGAATGTTATTGTACTGTTGTTATTGTACCTATTTTTTGTATCTATTTTGTTATTGTACCTATTTTCGTTGTACCTATTTTCAATTTAATCCACTAACCTTTTTTGCATCATCATCAAATTTAACAATTGTATATTCAATTTCATCTCCCCACTTTAGCTGATCACCTTCACGTCCTTTTAGTCGATGATAGAGAGCAATGAACTGTGCGATACCGTGTTTCTCAAATACAAAAGTTGCATATAACTACCATCCTTATGTTGACTTTTAGAGAAAAACAAAAAAAAAAACAATCCTTATGTTCACTTTTAGAGAAAAAAAACTATAAAAACTAGATTTTTCTCCCAAGAAAGAAAAGAAAAAAAATCTCTTCAAGCATGAAAAATAATAAATAATAATTTTAAGAGCATTTCGGAAAATTACTATTTATAAGAAAGAGCAATTCACCAGAAATAAATGAACCTCAATATTTTAAATTTTAAAAACAATTATTACACTATACTGTATCCGAACAAATCAATATCACAAGACATCCTATTATATCATAAACACTGAAATATTAGGTAAATAATTTAATCACATCAAACAATATATCTTTAATTTTTAAATGAAAATACAAAATTCGATGCTTACTTTAATATAATCAACGTAGGGTACTGTTTCATTCCACGATAATGGCGTCCCAAGCGTTAGTAAGCCCATATCGAATCCAAATCCTGCAGTATACAGAAAAGCTTTAAAATAATCAAAACAACGATATGATAGAAATATATAAAGTCGAGAGTAGTAATACAAAGAACTCAGAACTGGAAATTTAAAGTTGAAAATCTGAAAAGGAAGAAAAAAGACAAGAATTTTTTATTTTTACAAAAAGTTACACTTTGATCCTTTAAAGTTCAAATGTAATTTTTAACAATGGCAGAAACAAAAACCACGAATTGGTGAAATGAAAAAGGAAAAATTTCTCCTTCTAATTGTTTTAATACAAAATATTGTTTTAATCTCTTCTCTTCTCTAAAATTATAGCATCATTCTATCCATGAAGTAATGCTTATGCTGATTATAGGTAGCACAAAAATAGCTCAAAAGAATGGTAAATTACATAATATAGGTAACAGTTGCAAAAGAACACTTTCCAATTTGAAATAATTCAAAAAATGAGAAATATAAATAAATAAAGAGCCAGAGAAATAAAACAAAGGATCAGTTATGAAACAAAACATTAATAATTAATTAAATAATAAGCTTTGTTATATCATGAGCAAAAAAAAGATATCATGAGCAAATTATTAGTGAATTATGAGAAAGAATTTAAAGAATTTATCGATCATACTGTTATCAGTCTGAGAAATACAAAAATGATGCGATAATGTAATCGAAAAGTAATAAAAACATATCATCCTTCCCAATAGTACCAATCACACTTAATGATATCATTATAATTGTTAGTATATTTTATAGCCATTTTGTTCAAAATTAGTAGCTTCGATATCATAATGCGATATCAATGTCATAGTGATAAGCAATGCTACCAAAAAAAAGAAAAACTGCACTTAACAAAAAGCGCAATAACATGACAATGATTTAGATATTAACATCCGTGATAGTAATATAACACTAAGCTAAGGTTAATATTTTTCAAAGCTAATCGTAACAAGTAATCTTTTTACAAGTGCTAACAATGTCTCTCGCTAATGAAGAAAAGAAAAAGAGACACTTTTTTATTTTCTTTTTTTTGAAGCAATAAAAATCTCCTCAATTACAATAAAAATTCGGCAAATCGAAACGATAAAGAAACATACAAACGATTTTTGTTCACAAAAATTTTTTCCTTTTTCCTTTTCCATTTTTTCAATGGTAATTTTAAACCAAAATGATTTTTTGATAGAGAAACAAAATTACCGTCGCACAACTCTTACCATCAGAATGTTACACAATAATCGAATGAAGGAAAATGATCAAAGTGTCTTAAAATGCCATCAAATTTCAATGTTCTTAAAACAAAAACTCGCTTCGTTAAAGAACGACGACGAAAAGGGAGAAAAGGTTTTTTAAAAAAAGTAAAAATATTATTTCATTAAGAATAAAATGGAAATATTAATATAATGGACGAAAAAGCATGGATTGACATGACCTGAACTGTTTACATATAGACTCGTTTTATACGTCATAACTGTAAGAGCCTTAGAAAATGCCAAATTTTTATGCCGAAATCATTATTACATAATTTAAAGTACAAAACTCGCAATTCATTCACTTCGATTTACAATTTGAAGGAAATGAATCACAGCTTTGTATTGTAACATATTTGCAAGCGTACAAATCACACTATTAACTTACGAATTCAATGTTTACATAATAGCTTTTCACTTCAATTTACAGTTTGAAGAAAATGAATCACAGCTTTGTATTTTAACATATTTGCAAGCATATAAATTACACTGCTAACGAGTTCAGTGTTTATATAATAGCTTTGAATTTAAACATATTTACATGCATGCATATCACACTGCTAATTTGCGAATTAAATGTTCATAAAATTTTGTAATAAAATAAGTAACAGAACAATGACAATTATTGGGAATAAGTAACAGAACAATGACAATTATGGAAAAACTTTTACGGTTAAATCATTTTCTACTTAACTTATCAAGAGGATAGTTTGTTGTCGAGTAATGTTAATCATATATGGATAAATAAAGGTTAACAATGAAAAGCTTAAAACAAAAGATATAGACAAAAATCAAATAGATGAATACAAATGCGATTGAAGTGTAAATAGTAAACAAACTGATGGACGAAAAACATTTATGCATGCAAAATCTGACCACGAATGTTTCTGTTAAAATTTTCACAGACCGTATTAAAATGGCACATTTGTTGGGCGCGGTTAGCTGTTTGTGTTTGGCGGATTAATTATCCGGTAGTGCAGTTTGGGAGTATTTGTCACGTTTTTACGATATGAAGCAAGAAATACTTTGAACTGTTGCATTTCAGTGACTTCCGTCAATCAATTACTACTATATTAGTATTATTGAAAAAATTGTGTTACATGATGAGGGAAGGCAGTAATGACATCAAAGATGAGTACTTATTTTAAAAAATAGAATAAATTCAACAGTACTGGATACTAATATTACAAATTAGTCTGTTGAACAGTAGTATGAATCAATTATTAGCAATCCATTATATGGTTATTTCGAAATTTGCTGGATTATCATATACTCATATTACGCTCTGGAAGTAAGGCATTGGTATTTTATTGGTGATATATATCAATAATCCTAACATACTATTACTGAAGTAATCTGAAAATGTTTTATTATATGTTAACATATTCGTTAATAGCTAAGTATAATTATAACTCTAGTCGATAGTGAACATTAATACATGGTCTTAATAATCCAAAAGTAACGTGAATCAATTGAAAACGTTAAATCGTTGAAAGTTACCATTTAATTCATCACTTAGCTAGACCGCTCTTAACAAACATCTAAGTTTTTTTTTTTTTTTCAAAATATTTTATGAATTGAACCATTGATTTAATCTTAACAGTCTAATTGATTTACGTTACTTTTGGATTATTAAGACTAATATCGAAAATCATTTAAACTTTATATGTACTTCCTGGTTGATTTCCTCGAAAAGGACTTGTTTGTTACATTTGATTGGTTCTTATCCACACTTCACCAACATTACGTGCGTGTATATTCCGGCTAGTAAAGGAAAGACTACATCTCTTCGCCAGCGTGGAATTACACAATCTTGCGAAGTGAAACTAAGTTTATATCCACAATTTAATTTCAGATTATTTCATTTATTTTATAAAATGGTGAGCAACTTCTATGATGAAAATATGGAATTATCTCCATCGTCGTTGTTTCGACTCTCTCTGCAAGCAGTTGCGAGAACTATGTTTGAATATCACTGGTTTCCTTCCATTGAGAATCCCCTACCGTCGGAAATTTCCGATTCGTTGATGACTACGCTTCGTCTCAGCAGTTGGCTTAACAGCGAAACAATAGCTCTCTTTGATAAACGTTTCCGCCTAACTGAGGTTAAATTATTTCTAAAACGGTCAATAGTAAGAGGTTTAGCGTCAACGATCAGAATTATATATTTTAAAATGGTGGAATGAAAGCAATAACAAAAGAAATCCGCGTTTCTAAACAAAGAAAAATAACAAAATTAATGTAACAAACAGCATATGTTATGTTAAAAAGTTCATATACACACTTTATGTTGCTGTCAATTAATTTTTCAATGCTTGTTTAAAATGTTCTAATTTTTCAACAAAAATTTCTGTCAGAAATGTCGAACACTGTACCATTGAAAAAAAAAAAGTATAATTCAGAATGTGAACTTTTATTTCGAGTTTTATGAGTACATTATAATTCTTTTCACTATTCATTATTTAGTAAAACATTTTTCAAGAGATTGTTTAAATTAACTTGCAGGTGTATTTATCATACTCCTTGTTGACGGCAATGCCAACTGAAGTGTTGCGGATGCACCCAATAAAACGTCTTACTATTCGTGATACTTCAGCTGGGGATTCCGTTCGCGATTTGCACAGTATTTTGCACTTGCTTGGACCTCATGCATTGAGGTCGTTGGAATATATAGACATGTCTGGTAAGTTAAACCAAGATTTCTAAAGTCTATCTACTCTTTTAAAAACATATTTTGACAAATCAATTTGATTTTCTTCATCTTGATTTGATTCTTCTTTTTTGGTAATGCTCTTTTGCCGTTGCCAATAATTTTGACGCAGAGAATGGAAATTGATCAGTCTAACTGCTGTAGAATTAATATGTAAATGGAAGTTCACTTTGTCCTACCGCAATCTTTTTGCAATTATTCACTTGCAGGCATAACACCAGTTACATGTATAAGTTGTCTAGCAGATTTGAAGTACTTGACAACTTTAATTGTTTCCGAAACACCAGTATTTGGGGATGTTGAATTAAAAACGGTGTGTAAAGAGATGCGTTTTTTGAGAGTTCTTGATTTATCGCGAACAGTTATCACATCAGTTGCTCCATTAAGTAATTTAAAGTATGCTGTTTTTATTTCCATTGATTTACTTCACTTTTTTTCATTTGTTTTTTGTTGTTTATCTATTGCTTCACGTAAGATGATAGTTTCACACTTTCTAATTAAAAAACAAGCTTAACGAATATAACTGATTCAGTTTCAGAGACACTTTGGAAGTACTTGTTATGCATCGACTTAAGTTTTCTCACGTAGCAACAAATGGCGCTGTGGATACATTGCAACTTCTCAATAAATTAACATTTTTGGATATATCGGATAAAAAAGTTGATGTACTGGCAAATAGGTATGTTTAATAACTTTAAATTATTGTTCATTACTTTTGTTACAGCTGCTAAATTATATTTCTAGTTTTAAATTTAATGGGAAACGAATAACATGAGTTTTAGTAAAGCAACATTTTAATAATCAGTGTAGGGCTGATGATCTGTGATGCACTACGTTAGTGCAAAGTGAGGGATAAATCGGTAAACTTCAGAATATATGTTTCTGTAAAACATTTGGCAGTTAGATTTAGTGATACACTTAATGATATGATCATTATTTTAGCATTGGTGAGCCACTTCAAACTGATATCGGAACATTGGTAGTCCGTGATGTGGTAGCACTCGGCGTGCCTTGGTGGCCGAATCTTCGTTTTCTAGACATTGCTGGAAATGCATTGAGTTTTGATAATCTTGTACTTACTATTGATTACATTACGAAATTCATATCTATGCATCCACATTTGGTCTGCATATCTGTTTTGGACACTTCTTTAAATCGACATCCTTATCAATATCCATACGAAAGGGATAAACCATTGCAAGTAAGATTTTTCGTATTAATACAGAATTGTAATTGTTTCACAATTTATAAATTTCGTGTCTGAGCATTCTCTAAAATTTGTTGTCGTGAGTCTCTTATATTTATTACTTTTACTGCGCCACAGATAGCTAATGGTGGCACACGTGCTCAGTGTCTTCTTGCACTGCAACTATATTGGCGTCCAGATCGAGAAGCTTTTGCATCACATGCATTACAAGCCGTATACTATCTTCTGCAAACTTCCTATGATGAATTTCAGTCTGCTGATTTGCGTCTGACTGTCCGGGTAAACTATTAATCCAGCAACTTCTCTTTGTGTAAATGAAATTTCATTATTTTATAGCCATTCAGTTTGTTAAGTCTGATAGAAAATCAGTGAAAAATTAAATCTACCACAGGCAATCGATGTTTCAATTGAAATTTCCGCCGCACATCTTTTTCCCAAATTTACAGGGTGTTATATTATCGATGCTTAATCACAAAAAAAACATTGCAATACAGATGGCAGGGAGCGCTTGCCTTTATCATCTCTGCAAGTAAATTCCAGATTATAATTGTTGACCAAAGTCATAGTAATCTAGTAATGAAATAAACAGAAGTAAGAGTAGACATTTCATTCATTTTATTTTTTTTAATCTTTATTAGTAGTTCTTGATTATTTTCATAGTATTTGCAAAAAAGTAAAATTTTTATAGATCGAAGCGAATCAATCAACTTACCGCACAGGAGACGCGATGCTGTGTAGATCGATGTTTGGATGCCGCAGAAAATCATCCTCGGATGGTTCAGGTAAGACTTCTTGTTAGTATGGTTATTAGAATGGCGCTTCTACTTAATCGATGAGAATTCAGAGAAATTGCAAATGAAAAATTTTCTTCACCTTTTATCCATTAAATTTCCATATCTGAATTAGCTGTAATGGAATTAATTTTTGCTTTCAGCTTCAAAAGAATGTTTGGCTTACAGTATGTAGCGATCACTTATTACAGTCACTAAATTTTGATATATTTCGGACATGTGAAGTGGCTTTAGAATCAATGGTAAACACGCGAGATCCGTCCGTTTCAAGGTAGATTTCATATTTTCATAGATGTGAAAAGACAAAAATTGTTAAATTCATCTCGGAGGTACGTGAAATTTTCAGTATGAGGCAAACCCAGTGAGCTCATTGCTACCTGCTAACTTCTTGCTAGTTCGAAATTCATGAATGTAATTTTATTTTTGTCATCTCTAGAATTCAGTAAAATTCAATATTATTTTTTGTTGCAGAATGACGATCGCAGTGGTATCAATTTTGGCACCAAAATTGCCGACGAAGCAAAGTCATCGTTTAGCTACAAATAAACGATATGTTGCACATTTGATTGAAATGATCAATGAAAATCTAGATAATCCCGACAATGGACATGATAATTTCAATAATTTTACAGTGAAATTTACTTTATCTGCACTCTGGAATTTAACAGGTACACTACTTATAATGGGTATGAAATACATATCAATTTATGTCCTTACCGTATTCATAACTGCTGTTTGTATGACACCAAATGTTTTAAGGTTGAATTTTGGAATGTTATCACCCAGTAATTCGGTTTTAGATTTCTAATCCAAAATATGATTGATAATAAGAACGACATGTTTAATAATATCACAATATTTCCTTTCCATTGTAGTGAATGCGTTTTCTTGCCTTGTGCATGAGAACTTTTTTCCTGACGCTTTGCCAATTTATTAAAAGTGTAACTCAGTAATCGTAATCGCTATTAAGAGTGGTAACTTAATAATCGTGATTGCTATTAAGCATTAATCCTAACAATTAGAAGCAGACTGTTCTAACTTGTCTGCTTCTTCCGATGTTTATTTCTAATTTTTTTTCAACCTATTATCATTGTTTTTTTTTTCATTTTGGTGATCGATTTTAGACGAATCACCTGTTACATGTCGATTATTCGTGCAGCTTGGTGGCATTGCAGCGGCATTTGGCGTTTTGGAACACTACCAAAATAATACAAATATACAAACTAAGGTTCTTGGTCTTTTGGTGAGTGTTTTTTTTTTTGTAGTCAGTGATTTCTTTACATGCTGTATAGTTTGGTTCATCTGAGCAGTTTTTTTTTCAACATAACTTTTGGCTTCTTGGCAAACCTGGATACCATAACCATATCAAAGACTGATAAGGGGTGCTGAACTAATATGAGATGCAGTTCCTGTTTTGAAACTATCTGTAAGGTTAGGTTTTGCATAAAAATCTAAGCAACCGATTTTAAAATATAGTATATTTTTTTGAGAATAACATTGCGGAAGTGAAAGGCCTAAAAAAGCGAATAGTGCATCACCGTTATATTCGAACAGTTCTGTAAGTTTAATTTAATATTTAAGCGATTAAACATTTTCACATATTGATACGTAGTTTGCAGGTAATTGAGAAGTTAGTGAAAAAACGAGTTGTCAGATAGTTCTCATAAATATTTCAAATACTTAGTAATTGTATATCATCTTCTGCGGATTTTAATTTACTGATCTTATGGATTGCATTTTTTAAAATTAGGGAAGCTATTCAGAGAGTTGCTGGAAAGTGATCTAATGCCCGATAATTACTCTACAACTGTTGGTAATGCAAGGCATATCGATGTTTCATATTTCGCTGCTGGAATATTGGCTAATCTGTTAGACTGTGGCCCATGGACGTTTGAACCAACATCGCATCATTGTAATCAATCATTAGTTAGTTTTTTTTTTAAGTTGAAAGTCAAGTTATCAATTTCCATTTCAATCGTCCTCATTTTCTTTCCAGCTAATGATTGGCATAAGCAATTGAGTGAGTACCAAATTTTTAAAGGTTACAGTGCCACATAGAGTAAATTAGTGCTTACGTGATACTTTGTCTGTATTTCATCTCTTCGGCATATGGGATTATCATTTTAACTTTTTGATTTAATTTAATTGTAGATAATGGCAGTGAAAAGATGGCCCAAAGCACTGCTAACTATGGTTGCTTATCGGTAGGTGTTTTCTTGTTTATGGCTTCCAACAGTTACTTTGGATCAGAAAGAAAAATGCTTTAAAGTTTTTTGAAATATTTTTAGGAAAAACCGACAAATTATCATTTTTCAACAGTTTATGAGCAAGATCGAGTTGTACTAACCATTCATTTTATTTTTGTCATAGGAACTGAAATTGTTTTTCTCTCTTTTAATAAGAAATATTAAAAAATAAAACATTAAAAAATATATTTTGCAACTACAAGCAAGGTATTTCAGCAGAAAACATGTCAGTGAAAAATGTCTTTCATTGAATAATGACCTGTCTTAATTCTTTTATATTTGAGTGTGTAAAGGTTATTTTCAGGTCATTCGTGCCATTTTTTGTGTTATTGAAACATGATGACATAACTGGAGCGCAAATGTGGGCTGCATGGGCAATCCAGCATGTGTGCATCAGTGATAAACAAAACAACTATATAAAGTTACTTCTCTCACAAGGAGGACGAGAAGAATTTATACGCTTAGCCAATTCGAGGTTTGCTCACCCAGATGCTATACGACTTGCTCATTCCGTTCTCAGTTTGATCAAAAACTCTATTTGCGACCCGTCAAAACCCAAAAATTGAATTATATTATCATTAGTTTAAATAACATGAAGGATCATAGAAGTAGCCTTATGTCAATTTCTTTGTTTGATGCTGCAGTCTTTCTATAGCTTTTGTTTTCCGTTAGTGGTAATTTGATTTTCCTTTTACGTCTTCAAATAATTCTGCTTTTTGAATTAGTTTTAACATTTGATTTTTCTCATGAAATGTCTACATTTTTATGAATTTTTCAACTTTAGTTTTGATAACTTCTTGTTTTTGTACTATATTGAGTCTTTATGATGTTTTTATGCCTTATTCTACAGTGGACTTAACACAATTCACTGGACTTGATTTTGGGTTTTCATATTTTGAGAAGTTTTTATTCTTTTCTACTGTGATCGATAGGCATTGAAAATTGAAAATTCATTCACTTCATGTCTCAGTTTTATACACATTTCTGCATTGTACAAAGTATTCAGTTATTTAGATGCTCTTTTTAGATTGTATTTAAAAATTTATGTATTGATTTGCTTCATCCATCCTTGTGTGCTTATCATTCGTCTGAAGATCTTAGTAATTCATAAGGGTTCTTATCAAACTTATCATTTTATAGTAGTAGATTTCTTATGTTTATATCGCAACTTGATTGTCAAATCTAGTTATGCACCCTGATGATAGCTGTACTTGCATGTCAGAAGACATGCATTATGCTGTTAAAGCTCGCCCTACAGTTTTTTTAGCATTGCTTTCAATTTATCAACTGCCCTTTCATAAATCCGTTATAATATGAACAACTTAAGAATTTGCTTCTATGTCAAATAGTGTGTTAGAAAAATGATAAAATGATACTTTGTATCTGAATTAGTTAAATGCACTTTTTGTTTTCTATTAAGCAACTGTATGATTTAGCCTTTTTTGTTTCCTTCAAAAATGCATTTAAACATACTTCTAGTTCTGTTGCAGTTGTATCGTTTTGTTTTTATTTCTTTTGTTATTAAATCTGCTGATAGTAGTATAATTATCATTAGTGATTTCCAACTTATATCTTAATAGAGTGAGGATGACTGGGGAAAGTACAATAAATAGAAGTTCATCGTATAGTCAAATCTTTTTGACCTATAATATGTATTAATTTAACCAGTGGTATTGACACACTCAAATAATTACTAATTTCACTGAGTTTGTTGGTACTTTATACTTTAAATTTAAAATTTTAAAGATTAAAATATGAAAGATTTTTGATCACAGGAAATCATAAATAAGGGGGAGGAAGATGTCAGATATATCAGGTTATTTCATTATTTCTTTCCGTACTACTTGTATATGTTTATATATGTGTATTTTATTGGTGCGCCGAAGTAATGATTTGATTTGAGTATAATAATAACAGATGGCAATGCAATGACCTTCTCACACTTTTATGTTCCCAAAACCTTTTCCCTGTGCTCTTTTACCCTGTATTAAGGTAAGGAAGAGAAGCTGATGAGAATGACATGAAATTCATTTTGGGACAATATGACAGCAGATCACAAAGTACGACCAATGACATCGTTGGATAATTTATTTAATCCTTTGACACGTTCCATTTCTATATTTACACTTTTGACACTTCTATACAAATATTTTAGAAACAAAAGGGAAGCTTTCTTCTTACATTTCTTTTTTGTCCAGTTAATAAAGTAAAGTTTTATCCTTTCTTGCAATTTTTCGAAATTTCCAAAATCTTCTAAATTGGTGGATAGCGTTAAAGTAATATTTGTTTTTGAAAATTCTGGAACTAGAAGCTTTTCAAAAATCTAGAAATCACATACTATCATTGCTTGAGTATCTTTAACATTACTCATTGATGAAATAAGTGGTAATCATGCAATTAAATGGTATTGAGTTAATTCAATAAATTTCAACCAAGATTTGGTGAAAAAGGAATTACGAACTGGTCAAAGCACTGAATCTTTCTTTCTACAAGATTGTGCCAAAAAATAGGTAATTTCTCAATTAAAATTATGTCTCGATTTTTTTTCTACTTTTAAAAATTACATATTTAATTCAGCTATTTCAAACATTCTTTTTTTTTTTGAAAATTCGTTACCGTAATCATTTCGGTAAATGAATTTAAAATGTCCTTCACGGGACAAATATAATGGATGAATAAATAGAGTGAGGGGGAAATGATCGAGAAGTGTGGTGGGTGGAAATTATATTATATGGATAATGGTGATTGGAAAAAGAAAAAAATTAAGAAAAGAAAATAATAGAAATGGGGTGAAGGAAGCAAAAAGAGATAATTGGTTGAATAGATGAAAAGAATTAATATTGGCATCAATTCGATTTAATTCTATTCACAACAATTCTTTTGATCCATCCGAAACAACCTATTACAACTTTCCAATTTTGTTACCCTACTTCGTCCGATATTGAATTGTTTTTCTCGCTCTCTCCTTCTCCCTCTCTCTCTCTCTCTCCCCCTTACTCCCTTTCTCATTCTCTCTCTCCTCAATCTTTCTTACAACATTCACCTATCTTGCTTTTAAGATTTTTTCTCTAACTGATAAGCAAATTATATAAACTTTTTTTCTTTCTAAGTTTTATTTATGGCTTAATGATGAAGTATAAAGACCGGAAAAATGAGCATTTGAGAAAATAACTACGCAATAAAAGAAAATTGAGAATAAAAAAAAAAACAAAATTGAAGGGAAAAAAATAAACGAAATATTAAATACATATAATTAATTCAAGAAAATAATAACAACAAGCATTATTCCTTGAGAACTCAGTAGTTTTCATTGTTAATATTGTATTAAATGCGAAAGAAAAAACAAATAAATAATAATAAATATAATACGGTTATTGCGAGCATCAATTAAATCATTTTTTAATATTTGAACTACAAATCATCTATTCAGCTATAAAGATAATAAATTATAATTTGCTACAAAAACTTATAAGTCAACAAAAAAGAAAAAAATAAATAACAAGACAAATATTCCCCGAATATAGCAAAATGCCATCAATTTTATGTTCTCATAAAAATGTAAATTACAAATAAATTTAAAAACAAAACTTGTGGAAGACAAAAGCACAAATGTAGAGAATTAAGTGAAAAACAGGAAAATGAAATCATTAAAAATAGCACGAAGTGTAGTAAAATTCAAATTTTGAAATTCTCGGAAGAAAATCGATCATAATATTTTTTTAATTTACTGCAGCTTATCAAAATTTATCTATATGATATCATTAGTGAAATATGGATGAATAATAGTACTTTACATAATATCATCAAAGAATAAAATTTAGTCAACATATTAATTTAAATTATTCCTGCTCTCTTATCACAATTCTAATAAAACTTACAAAATATGACCACTGCAATTAATTACCGTTAATTACAACATGAACTAAAAAGTAGAATTAATTTCATTTAATATAAATTAAATGTAAAAAATAAAAATAAACGAAGGAAAATTCATGGAATTATGAAATGATTGAAGTTCGTCGATCATCTGCTAACTTTTTCTCATTATTTTGCATAACAGATTTTGTTACAATGCCAGTAATTGTAGCAGTTGTTGTTGTATTAGCAGCAGATATTGTTGTTGTTGTTGTAGTGGAAGGAGTAGCAGTAGCATTGATATATGGTATTAAATCATGATCAAAACGTGAACGTGATGGAGAAGTTGCAGAAGAAGATGACGGTAAAGTTGATGATGATACAGGTACGGCAGTAATATTTGCAAAAAACATTTGTGATATAAATTGTGGTGGTAATGCAAAACGTAAATGCATTTTACCTGCCCAATCTGTAAATGTAATTAATTTTGAACTTCAAAATATATGAATATGATTATTTTGTTCTAAATATTTTTTTAATGTTTGTTATGCTTAAAGAACCACTTGTATTTTTGCATAATTCTTTTATTACTGTAAAATTTTTATAGTAGAAAACTAAATGTTTTTTTTTTGAATTTAATTCATTTTATATAGCTAATTTAGAACGTTTTTTTCGATGTTTGTTTTAAAATTTAATCTTCAAAAATTTTGCAAAGAATGAAATAAATTTTCTTACATTGACGAATTAACGCTTGCTGCATAATTGCTGGACTATACAAATTGGGTGGTAACATTGGTGTACCATCATTACGG